AGGGATTAATGTATTTATCTATTCCATCTTTTTTTTTTCTGATTAGTTAGAGTGTCACGTGTCAAAAATGATTTTATACTGAAAATGGTTTTTGGCGGGAAAATTTCCATTGTGGTGCTGACACATGTCCTTTTTGTTTGCTGCTTTAATTAAGTACTATAGATATTATAATGTCATACTGAAAAGTAAAATTAAAAACATCAATGGATGTTAGCCGTGAAGAAATCATTTTTTTAACCCAAGTACAAATGCATTTTCCCATATATATATATATATATATATATATATATATATATATATATATATATATATGGGTGCAGCTAGAGTCCCGTTACGGGACGGTTTCATTTTAAATTAATTAATTGTAGGATCAATGAAACTAATTAATAGTCGTAGAATTAACATGAAAGTGCATCATAAAAAAATAAACCCAACTCCATGTAATTATAACTTTTTTGCTCTTTTCCTTTGTTTGGGAATATCATCTGTCCTTTTATTGCTTGCTTGGTTTTGAGTTTTTCAAACTCTCTCGATTTTTTGTTTAGCTCTTGTACTTTGCTTTATTTATTTATTATTTTTCTATTGGAGTTTGCTTTATATAAAAAGAGAAGAAAATTAAAATTCAACGACAATTGTGATAGACAATTTAATTATCCAATAAAAAAAGTAAAATAATTCTTATTTGTAAATTTTATCAGGTAATTTACAAATAGTTTTATTTTGTTGGAAGAAAAAAAATGTATATGAATTCGGATGTATATATGATATGGAAAAATACAAAATGAATGTGGAAATTCACGAGGTCAATACAATCCATTCACTTATTTATTTTTATTGAAATATATATATATATATATAATTAAATTACTTGCTGCCTAGAAACTCCAACAGTACGTGGCCAACTTAATCAATCACTGTTCATCTCCAATGATTATTAGCAAGTTATAATAATTTTTTGAAAATAATTATTGAAAAATTAGTTTGGGATATTTTAGTGTTAACTCACCCCATGATCACATCTTATACCTTCAATTTTGATTGGTTAAAGAAAAAACGGGACGGTTTCACAACGAGACTCTAGATTTTCTCTATATATAGGGAGCGGCTAGAGTCCCGTTACGGGACAGTTCCGTTTTAAGATAATAACCGTAGAATTAATTAAAACAACCATATGATTAAAATGAGAGTGCATCATAAGTAAATATACCTAAATCCACTTGATTATACAAGCGATAACCTGCTACCTGGTGAACCGGTTTATTATTCGAGGAAGGTCGGACGTTACCGATTAGAGAAGGGCGAAAAAAAATTCGGAGAACTACCGACGATACTACCGGCGACAGTCCGGCCATTACGTTCTCCTACTTTTTCGATTTGTGATGGCAACAATCAAAATCCTACCCTCTATTTATAAATTTCTCAATCGAGACAGGTAGCCAAATCCATTCAATAAGCAATTTGAGAAGTTTCAGGGATATTTGGTAATAACTAATTTGGTTTTTTGTTTGATTGATGCACCTAGTAGTAATTTTAGAGCATTAGTGTAATTCCATTTCAAGAATGCATTCCTCTATGTGGACATTGGCAAGGCGCTCTATGTCGTTACTGTAGGCGCTCTATGTCGTTGTTTTCAAATGTTTTTAGTATTCGTGTTCCGTTCCATCACCTCCGGTCTTCTCCTCTATCAATGAATCCATCCCTAGTTTTGAGAAAATGGGTTCGAGTTTGGTGTTGCTACAGTTCTACTCTTTCTAATTACTTCCCCCTGAGTTTGCTTTCATTTTTCTTTTTTGTTTTGAATCATTTATCTTTTATTAATAGTAAAATAGTTTGGCGCTGATGATGAAAACTCAGCTTAATGTCATAAAAATCTTGATTGATAAAGCTGTTATATTTACTCTGAGCCTTGTATTGTTTTTGTCTGTTTAATCGTGAAAATGAATGTGCGATCAAATTGAATTCTTTTTTCATGTGTGATTTTTTGATAAAATAGTCAGTGATGATAAACAAATGTATGATGGGTAGTATTTTAGGTCTTTAACTACACTAGCATATGATGCACCTCACAATTTGGAGAGTTTTGTGTAGTATTTGTTATGGAATTTGATTTAATATGGATGATGAAGAGGCTTCAATGCCTTTGAGTTATTGTGGCACATGTTTTTTTTTTTTTTTTGGAGAAAGAAACCATAGTTGACCAACAAAAAGAGAGAAAGAAACGGTAAAAGGAAAATAGCGGATAAATTCCTTCTATATTTTCATTCTCATTGTGAATATGTGATCTCTCTGACTTACGACTAAACTGTCATGCACAGGCACACATTGAACGCGCACTACACGATCATTTTCTTTTCAGGAAGCTTACAGATTCCCAGTGTAAGGTTTTGTTGATTTCATGCAAAGAATTGAGTATCAACAAGGAGATATTAATTGTCGTGAGCAGGTAGCTTTTAGTTCATTGTTGTTTAGTTTCTCTGGTTTAGAGAGGATGCTGAATGCCTAAGAAGAATTGGAAACTTTTCAAAGGACTTGCTTGTTTTTGTACTTGAATGAAATTACATGTTTGGATAAAGAACTATGGCCACATATGGGATCAAATCTTACCTTATGTATCAGTATTTTGAATCATTCCTAAAATTATGACTAGTGCACACAGTATGCATACTGTATTTAAACTCTGAAGTTTAGAACCATCTACCATCTAAGCGGTTTAGAAATTTTGCATATTCACTCTGGAAGTATGATCATTGTAGCATATTACAAGGTGATGAAGGTGACTGTTTTTATGTTGTTGGAATTGGAGAATTTCGAAGTCTGAGCTACACAGGTAATTTCTGCAACTTCTTAGTTTTTTGTACTGGATTTCACTTTCCAACTGTCGATTTTTTCAAAAATGCACCCATATCAATTAATTTGTAGTCCAGATGGATCTTTATGGTCAACGCTCACACTCAAGAAACAATGTTGAACTAAGCTCAGGTCCAAAAGTTGTCATTTCCGGAGTTGGTGTCATAGCTTGATACAAGGAGATTAAATCAGCCATTTGGGACTGAGACAGAAGCAGCTGGAACAGTTAAACTAGCACTCTAAAGAATGCAGGGAAAGAGTTGATTCCCGTAAAACCATTTTCAATGTTTGGCAACTAACCAAATCTTTTAACAATGGCACTATCCTGTTCCATGCCATAAACCAGTTTGCTCCTCTCAAATTCACGAAATTGATCATTGTGGTACATCTTCGTTGATTGATGTGTGTAATGCTCTAGTTGTTTTAGTAACTGTAGCAGATAGTCACTTCTGAATGTGATCACTGCCGCAAGACTCACCACATATGTATGAAGCTTTTCTTATTCCATTCTTGCATCGGTTAGCAACTTGTAAGCAGGCAATAAAAATATTTATTTCAAAGCATTTAGCTTCAATATAGGTGAAAAATGAAAGTTAATACTCCCTCCTTCCCAAAATTATTGTCCAACTAGACAATAATTTTGGGACAAAGGGAGTATCAATTCTGCTGTCTCCTCCCAAGGCTTGTATGCAACACTGATGGAACTTACAGCTTGGATTGAAGAAAAGTAACCCCCCTCAAAATTTGGTTGTGCAATCAGTCTAAGACTCATATTAACTACTGCAACTAACACCATTCCAGAACAGCTTGTTACTGACATATAATTGACTTGATTTCTATTCAGTTCATCATTCGCGTACTAGTCAAACAGTACTCTTTTACCCAAGGAATAATAAGCTCTTAAACCTTTAGCATTTACAACCACAAACTGTCCATTCATCTCCTGAGAAATCAACAATTACAGTGCAAAAACCATCACTGAAGACCACATGGGAAAGGCAGCATCTTTGTCCTCACGGCTAATGTACTCCACTTTCCTTTTATAACTTTTCTAAGATTTGCACAATGTAGAAGCATCCACAAACCGTAGTGGTAATGATCTGACAAAGAATCCACCAGGATCAACTGTCCTGCATCAATATATTGGAGCTCATTTTCAGAAGCAGAGCCCCCAAGATGGCCATTTCCAATAAGTTTAAACCCAGTAACCCCGTTGATAACAAGTTCGAGATTACTAATGTTCAATATGGGCATTTCAGCTAAATCACTACCGGGTTTTCCAATTATGCGTCTTAGAAATAAAAAGATAAAATAGATCTTTGCCAAATAACCACAGATTTAGTTCTGAAAGCGCAGTCCCACCCCTAAAACATGTAACTCTATCAACAGATGCATCAAGCTCCGTATCATCAATCCACAAGTCATATTCAACTCCAAAATCATCCTAAACCACTCTTCTTCTACAGTTACTCCTATAATGTAGTTTCATTCTCCCAACAATGTCCACACACTCCACAGTATTTATATATCTCTCACAAATCGATCCCATTGCACTACAAATATATATATTTTTTTCACAATTCAAATTTAGTTGATTCACAAATTTCAGACAATGAGAAAAGTCTCCTTTAAGTCAATTCACAAAAATTTCTACTATGACAAACGTCTAATCTTCTCTTAGAAGAAGAGTTTTAACTTGTCATTTATCAATCTAACAATCCACAAAAAAAAAAAAAAAAATTTCGTTATGCAAAAGTCTCATTTTCTCTCAAATGAAGAGTTTTGACTTGTCATACAATAATCTAACAAAACAAACAGAAATTTCAAGCAAGTTGTCCAAAATATGGCTAAAATCATTCAAGACGGAGTCTACTACTGTTCTTAACGATGAGCAAGCTGTCAACACAGTCAAAGCAAACTGAGTCTCCAGTCCCGACTCAGTTTGAGAGAGGATGATAAAGATAATCATTAGGATTCTGAAACCTTGAAGTCATAACAATTTTATTTTAGTGATAATTTCTATTTAATAGTTGATAAATTTGATTTATTGATTATCAAAAGTGGTAATTATCAAGAGTGGTACTTACCCAATAGTATATATATGCCTATAAATATGGCATGTAGCCTCTACTTTATAATCAGTCAATCACAATGTAATTTTTAAAAATTATTTATGTTCAAATTTTCTCTTTATTTATGTTTTTCAATTTCTTATTTCCTTCTTATTTAGGAGTATGTCTCTAAGGATCCTCTACTCCTTTAATTTTTTTTTCTCCACTACTTTCTGTTTTCCTTCATGATTTCAACTTTTGCTGCTGCAGTTTGTTGTGCTTGAGAACTTTCTATTTTGGGGATGAATTAATCATTTTTACTCTAATTTTCTCGGAACTCAAAGTCATTACTGTATTATTATCGAAAATGTCTAGTCATCACCTCTCACTTTCAGTGCCTCTGTTCTTCACCCCATTTGCTACTACTTTTCCAAGTCAGTCAAGAGAAATAAGTTTAAAAATACAAAAACCAAACTCTGGAACAAGTCAAGTCAACTCGACGAGGCAGAACAGAGCTGATAAGCTTTTTGTAAGAACTAAAATAGTTTTTCTTTCTAAGTCTATGATTTTTCCTTGTATTTTGATTTCTAGATTTCTTCTACTTTGTTGACTGTTTCTTGAAGTATGTGTGGAATTGGAAGGAAATATGTGTGAGCAATCATTCTCTTGATTTTTTTTCTTTTTTATTTTTTTTTGGTTCTGTTTCTGTTGTTTTGTGCTCTGGGTTTGATGAACTTTTGCTGATAGTGACTCACTGATTTCAAGTAATTCATCTTTGTTATGATTCTTGATTGCTTTCTGGGTTTCGCCTATTCTGTAGTGGCCAAATCGAGTTTGTGATCTTCTTGATGGCTGAGTATAGTTGACTTTTGAGTCTTTGATTTCACATGGAAATTAAAATTCTGAAAAAGGTTGTACTTTATTGTAGAAATGAGAAATAATGATTCTGATTCGAGAACTGGTACTTCATAAAATAGGGGGAACAAAAAAAATTGTGAGACTTCAGTCTAGATTACTTGTGAAATGCTCTAATTGATCCTATTTAGGCTTCTCCATGTTTTCCTAAATTCTCTGGAGTTTCTTTTGTGCATGTTGATTGGATTGGTCTAATTGGTCGTATTTTTGCCCTGTAGTAGTTTTCTGCTAAAACAAAAGCTTGTTAGCTTGTTAAAGTTGCTTACTATTCTAGTTCATTGTTAATTTGCCCTCTATGACAGCATAGTACACTCAACTTTCTTTATATTCACTAAATTCATTCGATTGTTCTGATTACAAGGTATCTCCAATAAGGCAAATTTGGTTTCTTTAATAGACGAATTCCATGCTCTTTAGGAAGAATGAATGTTGTAATTCATGACATAACTCAAGGAGGATAATTGACCAAGTTATGGAAAGTGGAAATGATCTATCTTCCTTAAGCTTTGCTGCTTCATCTCCTGCATCCCATGGTTCGAGTACTCAAAGTATGCCATCCGCTGGCAATGAGCCAGTGGCCAGTCTTGAACTCTTGAGTTTAACTAAATTAAGTGGTAATCTCGAAAAGCTATTGCTTGAAACTGGGTATGATTACAGTGATGCAGTCATAGTGGTTGAGGGGAATTCGGTGGGCCTGAATCGCTGCATCTTGGCTTCTCGAAGTCAATTTTTCCATGATCTTTTTAAGAAGAGCGCCAATGAATCTGCGAAGGAAAGTAAGCCAAAATATGATATGAAAGAGTTGCTTCCTCATGGAAATGTAGGATATGAAACTTTCATGGTTTACTTGCATTATGTGTATACCGGGAAACTTAAGCCACTTCCACCTGAGGTTTCTACTTGTGTTGATGACTCTTGTGTTCATGATGCCTGTGGACCTGCAATTAATTGCATAGTGGAGCTAATTTATGCTTCTACGACCTTTCAGATGAAAGAACTTGTGCTGCTGTTCCAGGTAAATCTTAGCTCTGTAATTCTTTGATGTCTGAAAAATTCCAATGTGGTGATCATGTCGTTGCATTGTTCTGTTATTTGAGTTTGTTCTTGTTGGTTTTTCCAAGCATACCTTGACCATGGTAGAGTTGGTACTTGATTTTGGGGTCAATTTTGTGAAGCATATAAAACTACTGCAGTTATTTTAGCGCATTATTCCCAGGATTGTAAATCCACACTATTCCAGATCTGTTAGAAGTTTAATTCAGATTGAAATGTGAACGTATTAAAAATAAACTTGGAATTTTGACCTTTTTATAAGAATCAGGAGTAGACTATGTTACGGTCTAGTAATTTTGTATTTTTCGGCAAACCATGTTGAGGCCTCCTGTCTGTTCCTATTAAGTATAAACTATAGAAGATCACATTCAATAAAAGTGCAAGGAATCTGTAAAACTAAGTGCTCCGGCTGGCTACTACTTCACTAGAACAGTTTTAACTCAAGATTTCTGTTCCTTGACTAGTGTGGTTGATAGAGCTATGGCCTGCAAATGATCTCTTGATAGCAATGATGCCAAAAATATCTGATGATAGCTTAAATTTATAATCACACTCTATGTCAAAGGATTACGTTTACCTGATGAAAACATTTCAAATTAAGAAAGCCTTATACTGGGTAAAGTATCTGATGAAAGCCCTTTCCCTACTCCTAACTTTACCTAGTCCTTATATGTAGGAGAAAGGATTAACGTTGTTCATTTCACCTTTTCATGGTATTTTAAACTCCTTGCACATCAAAGAAAACTCATGTAAACATTAACTTCACTACATGTGAATTTGTGCACTTTGTTTTCCATGTGCCTGTCGTTTACAGGGTTGTAAATAATGAGACCAAAGTAATAACTGCTCCGTGGAAAGTTGCAAAAGCTTTCAACAGAGCCCTTTTCGTTTTTTGCAATAACTCAGAACATTAGTTCAATGAATATGTAGACCGTAAAGTGGTTCCAACTGTAGGCACTTTTAAGTATCAGTCACAAGTCATGTTCATTCTCAGGTTTATGTGTACCTCATCTGATAGCTTTTAAAATATCTTCTTCGACTATGAATGGAGATCATTGTGCATGGAAGCAAATGCATTTCCTTTTTTCCATATCCCCTTTCCAATTACATTTGTCTTCAATTGTTTTACAGCGTCGACTACTCAACTTTGTTGATAAGGCATTTGTGGAGGATGTAATTCCAATTGCTTTGGCAGCCTTCCATTGCCAACTGAACCAACTCCAATCACACTGTGTCCAGAGAATAGCACGTTCTGATCTTGATGATATAACTCTTGAGAAAGAGCTTCCACACGAAGTTGTAAGTGAGATAAAATCTTTTAGGAAGCAATCCATCCAAGCCACGGAGCATTTAGGCTATGACAAGAGGGTGAGAAGGATCCACAAAGCATTGGACTCTGATGATGTAGAATTACTGAAACTACTTCTTGAGGAATCCGACATCACTCTAGATGATGCTTTTGCGATTCATTATGCCGCAGCCTATTGTAACTCTAAAGTTCTAACTGAGGTGCTCAGTGTGGGGAAGGCTAATCTCAACCTTAGAAATTCGCGCGGATATACAGTGCTTCATGTAGCAGCTAGGCGTAAGGATCCATCAATCATTGTAGGTCTATTAAGTAAGGGAGCATCTGTTTCAGACTTAACTGAGCATGGACAAACCGCGATAACAATTTGCCGGAGGTTGACTAGGCCAAAGGACTATAATGAGTCAATGACCCAGGGGAAAGAAACTAATAAAGACAAATTATGCATTGATGTGCTGGCGAGGGAGATGATCAGAAATCCACTGGCTGGTAATATGCCTATGTCATCCATGATGGTGGCTGATGATTTGGTTATGAGACTGCTGCTCCTAGAAAACAGAGGTAGATATTTACAGTTGCCATAGAATTCTTCAATGGTTTCTTGAACGTACAAGGACTAAGTTATGGAAATTCTTTTTTTTTTTAAGTGTAAAAGTTGCTTTGCATAATTAACCACCAATAATGAAGAAATTAGCATTTGAAGCATGGTTCTTTGTTTAGAAATGACAGTTGTAAATTTTGCTTTCGGTCAAGCTGATTTCCAATAATTTTACGTTTGGACATTGGGCCTCTTCTTCTCTAGAAACTATTTTTGCCAAAGGCTTGATTTACTTTCAGTAGTTGTTTGACGAATATTTTAATGCCACTTCAAGAAAATCTATGTAGGTCTCATTTGTTACCTGTTGCTTGTGCAGTGGCACTTGCGAGAGTATTATTTCCTCTAGAAGCTAAGCTAGCAATGCAAATAGCAAATGCACATTTGACTTCGGAGTTCCGTGGCCTTAATTCAGCAACTAAAGGATTGTGTGGAAATCTGAGAGAGGTTGATTTGAATGAAATACCACATGAGCAAGTTAAGCGGCTTCAGATGAGGCTAGAAGCCCTGCAGAAAACAGGTACTTCCGAGCTGAGCATCCTTCACTTTCGTTGTTTACAGAAATGCTGTGACTTTTTCCATAGAAGATCTATGACATATTTAAAGTTTGGTATATCTGCAATACAATTGAGATATTTGCAATTGCAATTCTGAGAAATGGAAATGGCTGTATGGCATAACATTCTGATTGTAAGTAAGCTTCAATTCTATTAGGCATTTCTTAAGATATGCGTCTTTGGTAAATCATTTCAGAGTGGTTCTTCAATAAATGAACATTGAAGCTCGTAAAGCTGTTAAACTTCCCTCAGCTTCTCCCAACAGCCATTTTGCTTCATTTGCTTGAATAACAAGATGAAACAAGTGGATGGACTGATCATAAATGTTTCAGATGCTTCGAAAGCATTATTACATTAGGGAACACCTCTTGTTATGTTCCATTCTGTCTTAACAAACATTTTTTAAAAAAAGATATCATGTGCGTCATCTTATAAGGGAAAAAAAAAAAAAAAATCCGCTGCCATGCTTTTATCAATATTATCAAAAGTAAAAGTCCAAAAAAGTTATCTGGAGCCTTCAGGTGGTATTCTTGCCTAACAAAAGCTGACAGGAATCCAGGAACATTGAAAGGATTGCTGAAGGTTTCATAAGATAATAGAAATGCAGTTTGCATATTAATAACTCTACTTGGTACGTGGAACATGTACGTGGAACATGTCACCGTCATTTTCCATTTAATTATTTGCATTTCTGATGGTTATACTTCAATGACAGTGGAGACTGGACGTCGGTTTTTCCCCAACTGCTCAGAGGTTTTGGATAGGTTCTTGGAGGATGATATGCAAGATACTCTACTTTTAGAGAAGGTTCCACCCGAGGAGCAAAGTGGGAAGAAGATGAGGTACATGGAACTCAAAGATGAAGTGAAGAAGGCGTTTGATAAAGACATAGCTGGAAGAACCTGGGAGGGGGGTCTGTCATCATCCTCATCTTGCTCATCTTCTCCCAAAGCTGGCGCCAACCATAAAGCCCGAAAAAGGCAACTGTACTAAAATTTTTGTTTAGCTAGAATTTCATGAGCTTGAGGGCATCATAACCTTAAGAACAAATAAAAGCAGATACCTTACAGTTACACATTGTTGCTTGTATATATGTATCTTGATGATAGGCGTGTTAGCATAGAGATCTTCTGATGCTCATTTTTTATCTCATTGGAAATGAACCAAGTGAGTGATGCTTGTGAGATTGCGTATCTGATGCATCCAATTACCTGCTTTAGTTTTCAGGAGCCTCCTACATTGTTTTCTACATGAACTGATCGACAGTCCTTGGCCCTGTTCGGAGGATCTTTGCTTCCATTAGTTGATGATATAAGCTTTCTTCTGGATGTAACAGTCTCATATGTCAGAACTTCATACTACTGCATCCATTAGTGTCTTTAAATTCACAGATGATCTTTCTATTGTTGTTTTTCCAGATCTGGAAAGACACTTAGCAACGATGCATTTGCAGGAAATACAGAACTACAAAAGCAATGATGCATTAGTGTCTTTACATTCAGAGATGGTCTTATCCTTCCCATTCTCTCCATACCGTAGCATATATTATTATTATTTTATTTTATTTTTTGATGAAAGGTAAATTGTATTACTTCTCAACAAACCCTCCGAAAGTTTACAAACCTATTCCTTCTATTACACTCTTCTGTTGCCTTTTTTAGCAAACCAAGCCTAATTTCTGTACAAACAGTTTTTCAGAACTCTTAAACTTTTTACAAACTGTTTCAGTCTTCGAAGTATTTCCTGTTTCAGCTTTCTAAACAGGACATCAATGTCCATCAGATTTGCTCCATGGTGAGCTGCATTCCTCTGTTGCCAAACCAGATAAACTACTGCAGCCAGGGCACTAAATAGAATCCGTTGTTTACATTTACTCTGGCACCAGATTCTAGGTAATCTTCTTCTCCATTGCTCCATCCTGTCAGGAACTCCACAACAGTCAAGCCAATCTTTTACCATTTGTAACAGCCTTTTGGAATACTCGCATTGAAAAAACAGGTGCTCAAAGCTTTCATCAGCTATCTGACAGAGTCTGCATTCCATCGGCTGAGTTATAATTCTCAGCTGCTGCAACCTGTCTGCTGTCATCAGCCTTTTCTTCATGGCTATCCACACTAAGAAGCTATGTTTAGGAATATTATACTTCTTCATGGCATATATTATTTGACCGTAATTGAAAGCAAATATTTCTTGATAATGTTATCCCCTTTAGAATCCTGTTAACTATGATGACTGCATTCAATAACTGGTTCCGGATCCATCATCCATATAACTATATACTGCAAGTTTACGAGTTTTCATGGGCTGTAACTGCAAGTTTCAAAAACTTGAAGTCCAAATGAGGCAAAGGGAGCCATTAGTAGGCCTTTTAGAGGGGAATAACTGATGATTCCTTGAGAAATCAAGCCAACAGTTCTACAGCAACCTAAATCCAAGCTCAGATTTGAAATTTCATAATTGATGTGTTTACTATTCCAACCATTGTTTTTGTACCTCAGATTAAACCATCAAAAGGTTACTCACCATAAACGCTTTTCTTTACATCATTTTCATCAGAAGCACCTACCTGTCTAAACCATTAGCCCTACAGGGAGCATCCGTGCTAGTTTTACAGGATTTTACAAACTCTATCACGGAGGAAGCCATCTCTTCAATCCCTAATTCCGCTGGGGTCGTATCCACAACAATCTTCGGCACATCACCAACATCATACTCCCAACAACCTGCATACCCTTCCAAGAGTTTCCCCATATCATGCCAAGACCTTGGCTTGTGCCAGCTTGATGATCCCTGAACATCTGCTTCCTCACCCCTCATCTCGATTCGCCTACGCCATTCATCCTGATTCTTCGGCTTGCATTCGACAATAACAAGCCGAGCCTCATTATCAACTGCCATCCTGATCAGCCTGTCCAAGTGAGCCGGACGAGAGAGTGGCGAGTCGATGACTACACTAAGCCCCAAACTAAGCTGAGTTGAGGCCACTTGCCACATAACTTGGTAAGACAACTCATTCAGGAGATTTTTCGACGATTCTTGATGCTGATCAGGAGTGGATAACATGAGGGTTTGTTCAAGTTCTTTTGTGCAATCCCTGAAATGATCTTTGTCTATGAGAGGACATTTGAGAGCCTTGGCTATGGAGCAAGCTAATGTGGTTTTACCACTACCTGGATGTCCTTTCATTGCTATAATAACAATAGGCCTTTGATGGACTCCATCAACCTGATTCACTGCAGTCATGGTTTTTTTCTGCTACTCCAAATCAGGACTGAAAAATTTGAATACAATCTGTACATATCCTTCCCATATGTAAGAGATAAAAATCTTGTGAAACCAAGCTTACAATGGTTGCCACTTGCCAGATAAATAAAATTTTTATCCACTTTCTTTGTTCTTTCTTTTTTGTCGTATGCTAATCTCTAAGAAGATTATGGTGCCACGTTAGAAAGACGTAGTTTTAACTTATTACATGATCAGACAGAAAGAAAGAAAAAAAATTAACAAATATTATCCTTTTGCATGACTTCCTTGTGAAACTGACTTAGACCATAGCATAATACCCAAAATGAGTTTCCAGTCCATTCCAGTACGATTTTAGTACGAGAAATGAAAAACATTTTTAGAACTGATGGAATGATTTAAATGACACGCGGAAAATGAAGATTATTTCGAAAATTGTCATATTTTTGTTCTAACCTTACCCCTGGACGAGGAAATTTTAATATATATGTTAGTTGAACACACTTTTTTATGTCAAGGCTAACCAATCATCATGTATCTAATTCCCTCCATTTCTATTTACCAGGGGATATAGATATCACCGTCAAACCTAATAAAAATCAGTTAATTTAATTGTTTGTCTCAAAATTAGGCTAAAGTACGTATATTAGCCCCAATTAAAATCTATTTTCTGGATTTGAAAGGCTGGTTAGACTAAAGAACTTATATTACCAACATATAATTTGACAACAAACAATGCACCTCTTTTCTATTTTCATATGTGGTCTAGTTCTCAATAAAAAATCAACGGATATTGATCCTTTTCCGACTTAGAGAATGAAATGGCTTGTATTAAGCAATTGATCTATGAGTATTACATATGTTTATATAGAAAAATCTATCACTAGAATAATATCACATGGGATAATATCAAATCTAAGATAAACCAAACCACAATTCTAGATAATTAACTACACAATATCACAACTCTAGATAATTATCACATGGGATAATTATCACATTGACACGCCCCCTCAAACTGATGAGGCAGAAAGTAGTAGTCTCAGTTTGCCCAAGAATCGAGTGAACCACGATGCAATAGCAACAACAAGTGAACAGTAGTAGGAAAGCAACAACAACATAAGAACAAGGAGACTGATGGCGGCGCTAGAAAGAGAAGTGGCACAACAGGAGGGAGGCTGACGATGGCACAAGAATGCAGCACTGATCGAAAGATATTGATGGCAACTCAAGAATGCAGCACGACCGCAAGAAAATTGACGGTGGCTCAAGAATGCAATGCTGATTGAAAGATGACTGATGGCAGCGCAATAATGCAGCACGACCGGAAGACTAATGGCGGCAGAAGAATGCGGTACGATCGATAGATAAGTTATAGAGAAGAGGCGATGATGTTGCTTTCCTATGGTCTGGGGTTTGTGTTGTGATTATGTTTTTCATTAAGGACTCAATCGGTTAATCCAGGAATCATAGGACCTACTTGCACAAAAGATAATCTAGAGGGGTTGATTTAGAAATTTTACAAAGTAGAGAGACTAAAAGTGAAAAATTTAAAAATTTTTCAAATATGGATGATGGCCTGTGATGATGATGATGGATGATAAATGATGACGGAGTGAAGTTATGGAAAAAAGAGGGGCCAGGTTTTTTTTTTTTTCTTTTAAGGGGGTTGGGATTTGTTTTGTAGGGTGAAGAAGCCGGCGGCTACGGCAGAGAAGAATAAGGGAGGGGATAGAGATCAGAAGAGAGGGGAAGAGGGAGATGAACGGTGGCGGCACAAAGAAGGACAGTGAGGTCGACAAAAGGAAGAAGGATGATGGAGGAAGATTGGTCCTCTAAAAGTGTTGATTGATCCAACAAGCGGTGAGGGATGATGCATGGGTGTATGGTGACGAGTCCAGATCCATGACCGAGATTGTACCGGCCCACTCACCGTAAGAAGAGTCCAATTGGGACTCTTAGGACGGTGTGAATCCCTAAAATCTAGTCGGATTCGGAATTGTCCAGGTAATCTCACACCTATAAATAGGGTAGCTCATACCATAACTCAGGTATGCAATCTATAAGCCAAACATACTACCTCCCAAAACTTTCTAGCAATCCCGTTTACTGACTTAAGCATCGGAGTGTCTATCCTCGAGAGACCCCGAGACTTTATTTTGCAGGAAACCCTAACCGGAATTCTACCGTTAAACCGGCGGCGCATATCCGTGCATCTTCAAGTGGCACGCTCGGTGGGACCCGTAAATTAGGGTTTGTGTCGCAAAAACCTCCTGAGGTTTCCTTAACATCTTTTCATAACAATTGGGGTTGCCAGAACAACCGTCACGATGGTCAGAGTTGAAGAAGACGCCGGAAGCACGGCCTCCTCCGGCCACTAGCATAGTCTAGGAGACGATACTCCCCTGGCCGAATTCCAATGCCGGCAAGAAAAAAGAAAGACAGGAAAAAGCCATGGTGGAGAACCTGGGAAAGAACAAACCAAGGAGCGTTTGGTCCTCGGTGCTTCTCAGCCCGATCCAAAGAAACAAAGCAACACCAATCTTCTACCTGAAAAAGAGGATATACCCCCCCTCGTTTTACCCCCACTGCCGCCAACCGTTTGGAAGACCAGAAACTGGCCAAAATCGAGGCCGAACTCAAGAAGCTAGGCGATGATAGTGATCAACAGCAAAGGCTGCGGAGATATGTCCTCGAAGAAACTAGACGGCGTTGTCTCCTTGGACAACCCGACCCTACAGAGCAAGAGTTGGAAGATCTGGTCGACGAAAAAGAAGCTCGCAAAACCCTGGCTCTTCTCGAGAAGAAACGGGGCAAGCGGAAGGTCCAAGAGCAGGAGAATTACCAAGAGACCGAGAGCTATGAAAGCTCCCGCGAAGAACCTCACATGCTACCAGAGATACCATATTTTGGGATGCTTTCAGAGAAAAATACCCAGCCTTCGACACCGCCTTCGAGGAATTCGACGCGATATACCAACGGAAGGGCGTCGAAGAGAATCCAAACCCCCTGAGCGTCGAGATCCTCGAAGGAGAACAGGGGAAGCCCCCAAGGAAAAACAAGGCACATAATCGCCTTGAATTCAATTGGAATCGAAGAAGCCCTCGAAGAGGTGAGTACAGGCACGACTACGAGCCACGTCGAGGCCGCAACAACACCGAGGGCGATTATGACCAAGGATACTATCACCGTCCTCGGTACTCGCCTCCAAGACAGCAACAATATCACGGGCATAAGGAAAATCCTCCGTACTACCAGGAAGACCAGCAAGGAACAAGAGACTAGAACATTTTGATCCGAGAAGAAATGAGGAAAATCATCGGGATAGGGCTGGACCGAAGCCCCTTCATCCCCAGCATTTGAGATGAACCTAAGCCCCGAGACTTCGATTTCCCTAAAACATTCAAGCCGTATTCAGGAGATACGGATGTCTCCCAATGGTTGCAAGGATATGTTCAAGTCATGAGAATCCGAAATGCAACCATGAACTTCATGGCAAAGGCGTTACCTTCCTACTTATCCGGATCAGCGCAGCGGTGGTTTGGGCAACTATCAGAAGGAAGCGTCACTAGCTTTGAAGATTTGTCCGTCAAACTAGCTAATCATTTCTTCCAAAGCAAACGGATATCGCGGATGTCCATCGACGTTTCTTCGATCAGACAAGGACAGCACGAGAGTCTAACCGACTTTCACAGACGATTCATACAAGAGACCTTGCAAGTCGACAACATTGACGATCGAGACGTCCGCAACGGATTCGTCCAAGGTCTCAACCCCTTCGGAAAATCCTCAATGTTGCGAGTTAAGCTCTCGACAAAACCCTCTAGGAATGCACAGGAGATGTGGGCTATTGTCGAGAACCATATACAGCGAGAACACATGCTCAAGAGGTCCCAAGAATCCTTCGCCTCGGTAGGCCCCAAAGAAAAGCCAAAAATCCCCTAGGAAGATAGACTTGCACTGCCCAAGATGGATAGGCAATTAACGCCCTTAACCAAGCTCCAACGAGAAATCCTCCAGATCCATAGGGACGAACTGCCAGCTCCGAAACCCTTGGCCCCTAATCCAAACAGATCAACCGAACAATACTGTGAATATCACAAAGATCACGGCCACGACACGGAGGATTGTCGAGAGCTCAAGCGTGAAATCGAGAACGGGGTCAAATCTGGGAAATTTCAGCAATGTGTGCAGGGAACAGCTTCCCGACAGAAGAATAACAGACCCCAGTCACGAGATCACCCAAAAAGAAATTTCAGACGCCCGCCACGGCGGGATAGCCGGGGAAATAATTGGCAACCAAGGGTCAATGCCCAATAGCAGCAACATTATCCCATCGCTGAACCAACGCCACAACCATTGCAACAACTCCCCCCGACGGATCCAACAAAGCTAATCACTCACCAGGTAGGAGCTATTTATGGAGCTCCCTCGAAGTCTTATCCACGACAGCCATGAAAAACTCATTGCGAACTGTCGCCAAAGCCCCTCGACAAGAACCTAGCCACAAGAGATTCAAAGGAACAGAGGCCATCGTATTCACAGATAGCGATGTAGTCCCAGACATTTGTCCCCACAGTGACGCTATGGTCATAGAAGCAATAATCGCAAACGTAAAAGTCGGAAGGGTTTACGTGGACAACGACAGCGCGGTTGATATCATATATAGTGATTGTTTCAAGAAAATGAACATCAAAAACCTCTGCATCCGCCCAGCTACAATGCCACTAATGGGATTCTCAGGACACACCATTATCCCCATAGGAATAATTAGCCTACCCATCTCGGTAGGGTCGCATCCTAGGATAGTCACTTTGACCATGGATTTCGCCCTAATAGATGCACCCTCGCTGTTCAATGTGATCCTAGGGCAACCTTGGATGTGCCAAGCACGCGCGGTATGGTCTCCCTATCACTTGGTAATGAAATTCCCAACGGAATATGGAGTAGGAGTAGTCAAAGGATGCCAGCGGAGTTCTCGAGAATGCTTGCTCACTGCAGTCAGAATTGGAAAGAAAACTGCATACCTTAACCCAGGGTCCGCCGTGTCGGAATGCTATTCGATTCGACAAACGGTCAACCCACCAGGGGCAGAAGACCCCAAGACACCCAGTCTTCCCTCGTTCAGTAGCAAGACGCGAGGGTTAGTCCTGAATGAGTCTGATCCCACCAAGACCGTCCAAATTGGGGTTTCTCTCCAAGACCCCTTGCTAGCCGAGATCAGCGCCTTGCTACGCGAGTTCCAGGACATATTCGCCTGGTCCCGGGCAGACATGACATGAGTCCCTCGGGAAGTCATAGAACATAGGTTAAATGTTGATCCAAATGTCAAACCAGTACAACAGAAGAAAAGAGTATTCGCTCGAGAACGTAACGATGTCATCAACGAAGAGACGATGAAGCTAGTCCGAGCCAACATACTCCGCGAAGTTTTATGGCCTACGTGGTTAGCCAATCCGGTCTTGGTGTATATGCCAAGACTACACAGACCTCAATAAACATTGCCCCAAGGACTGCTACCCTCTACCAGTCATAGATCAAATGGTGGAGGGTATTGCGGGGTATAGAGTCCTCAGCTTCCTTGACGCCTACAAGGGATATCATCAAATCCTCATGGCACGGGAAGATGCAGAAAAAACAGCTTACATCACCGAGATAGGAGTATATTGCTACGACAAGATGCCCTTTGGACTAAAAAACGCTGGAGCCACATATCAGCGTCTCGTGAACAGAGTCTTCCATGGCCAGATCGGCCGGAACATCGAGATTTATGTGGACGACATGGTGATAAAAACCAATAAGGATGAGCAAGTAGCCGCAGACATGCGGGAGATTTTCACAATATTACGCAAGGTTAACATGAAGCTGAACCCTAAAAAATGCACCTTCTGTGTAGGATAAGGGAAATTCCTAGGATACCAAGTCTCCAAGACTGGAATAAGTGTTGATCCGGCTAAAATCGAGGCTATCTTAGCCATGGAAACTCCAAAAACCGTCAAGGAAGTTCAGAAACTCACAGGCTCCTTGGCAGCCCTAAACAGGTTTCTATCTCGAGCTGCAGAAATAAGCCTCCCATTTTTCCATACCCTCCGCAAAGGCAGAAAATTCGAGTGGAATGAAGAATGCCAGAAAGCCTTCCAAGACCTAAAAGAACACCTCAAGCAGTTGCCCTTAGCTAAGCCTGAGCCAGGAGAAACACTATACGTTTACCTAGCAGCCCGAGAGAAAACTGTCTCGGCAGTCCTCGTACAGTGCAAAGACGGCAAAGAAGTCCCCGTCTATTTCATTAGCAAAGTCTTGCAAGGAGCAGAAACCAGTTACACACCCATGGAAAGACTTATCCTCAGCCTAGTCTTGGCCGCACGATGTCTGCGCCCATACTTCCAAGCACACCCCATCATGGTTTTAACGGAACAACCAATTCAGCAAGCCCTGCTAAAACTAGAAGCGTCCGGCAGGATGATGAAATGGGCAGTCGAATTAGGCGAGCACCATATCGAATACAAGCCTCGATCAGCCATCAAAGGGCAGGCCTTTGCTGACTTTTTAGTAGAAACGCCTCGAGCTATCGAAGTCAAAGAAATAGCAGAGCCTAAAGACGACCCCACTACTCGCGTCTACATCAATCCTTGAGCATGGTCACTATATGTCGATAGATCGCGTTGCGATGAAGGCGGAGGAGCCGGCATCATATTATCCAAACCTCCGGCCGATCCCGACATCGAGAACATGAAAGAGTACGACGCGGAATATACATATGCGCTGAGGTTCGGTTTCTCAGTCACCAATAATGTAGCAGAATACGAGGCACTGATAGTAGGGTTAAACATGGCACTAAAACTTGGGGTCCGCAAAATACAGGTTTTCAGTGATTCTCAAGTAGTAGTGAAACAAATATCGGGAGAATACACGGCAAGCGACGAGCAACTCAAGCGCTACCTCGAGAAGGTCCTCGATATCAAGGACAAATTCGAGGAATGCACCGTGTGCCACACAGCCCGCTCGAAAAACAAAAGAGCCGGCGCCCTCAGCAAGCTGGCCTCCTCGAACTTCGCACACCTCAGCCACAAAGTATGGGTCGAAATTCTCCCTAATCCCAGTATCCAGGACGTCCCCGTAGCGACCGTCATCGAGGACGGCGACACTTGGATGACCCCTTTCATCCAATACCTTACAGATGGGACGTTGCCGAATGGAAAAGCTAAAGCCAGGATCCTCCGATTAAAAGCGGCCAAATACACATCGCGAGACGGCATCCTATACAAGCATGGATACCTGCTACCCATGCTAAGGTGTATCGGCCCAAAGCAAGCAGCTTACGTACTCGAAGAAGTACACGAAGGATCATGTGGAGCTCATATGGGAGCAAGAGCACTCGCCAAGAAGGCCTTGCGAACAGGATATTTCTGGCCGACAATCTTTAAAGATGCCTACCAATGGGTACAAAAATGTGAGAAATGTCAGCGCTTCTCCCCCATCACCCGACAGCCACAGCATGAGATGGTCACCATCCAAAGCCCATGGCCGTTCTACCAATGGAGCACTGATATCATCGGCCCCTTTCATCCGAAAGGAGTAGGAGGAGTAAGATGGGTCATTGTAGCAGTAGATTACTTCACTAAATGGGTAGAAGCCAAACCCTTGGCCTCGATCACCGGGAGAAAAATCTTGGATTTTTTCTGGCAAAGCATAGTATGCCGCTTCGGGGTCCCGAAGATTATCGTCTCCGATAATGGGACCCAGTTCGAGAGCAATACTTTCAGGTCATGGTGCGACAAAATGTAGATCGAACTTCGCTTCTCAAGCGTAGCCCATCCCCAAGCCAACGGGCAGGCCGAATCCATCAACAGAACAATACTGCATGGAGTCAAGACCAGGTTGTATGGCGCCAAGGGGGCATGGGCCGATGAACTCCCTCACGTCATGTGGTCATATCGGACAACTGCTCACTCCTCGACCGACGAGACGCCGTACAGCTTAGTCTACGGTATGGACGCCGTCCTCCCAGTTGAGATCGGTCTGTCGAGTCCTCGAACCGCAAAATTCATCGAGAGTACCAATGATGATGACATCTGACTAAACCTTGACCTGCTCGAGGAACGTCGAGATGCCGTCAGAATCTTAGAGGCCAAATATAAAGAGACTCTTCGTAGACATTACAACAAAAAGGTGAAAGCCACGGACCTCGCTGTGGGTGACCTCGTACTAAGAAAAAATGAGGCCAGTCGAGCAGAAGTCCCTGGAAAACTTACTGCAAATTGGGAAGGGCCTTACAAGGTTATCCAGACTTCCCCAGCAAGCTGCTACCACCTACAAGCCATGGATGATAGTGGAACTATCCTTCCTCGATGGTGGAACATCCAGAATCTTCGTAGGTTCTATGTTTAAGCCCTTATCCGCTATTTGCCCTTTATGTGTTTTACTTACTTTACCCAGTCAGTCTTATACTCTCATATATAATGCTAACCCGGGTCCTCGTGTAATTATTCAATAAAAGATGTTACATATTCTCCCCAATTATAGCGACGCATTTATGACTAGTCATCAAGATGGACTCCCTCTTTAGGGCCATCCTCGATCAAGAGCTGTGTACTCAACATCCGGACACAAACTTGAGGAACTTTCCTCGTGCACATTGCAAAACGCAGTGTCAAGTAAAGGAATTCGTACCCAATTCCTATCATAGAGCCGTGTACTCTACATCCGGCCTAAAAAGTGCTTTAAAAATCAATACTCGCGTAAAATAAATATTCGTTCCACATTGCTGTGCGAACTCACTGAAAAGTACATATTTTCTACACTATTACAAGCACCTCCTTGACAGGATTGTCGGGGGAGGGATGAATAATCCCCTTATACCCGTGCAGGCTAAGAAGATTCACACACTGATTCAATTTGTCCTTGAGGTCCACGATCTCTGTATCCTGAGCATGCACCCTCATCAACAACTCCTCTCGAGAACTCCGAGTTCGAGGATCTACTGTCTCCTTCGGACGCTCGAAAGCCTCGAAGTCGATGTTGTTATCCAGCAGAAGATTTTGAAGTTGAGCAATATAATCTGTAAGAAGCTCGATTTCACGAGACCTCTCTTTCCATATATCCATGGCTGCGATAAAGCAACGAGTCCTGACCACAATCATGTGCTGGACTCGAGCTAACACCTGGTGCTTCTCGAGAAACCAGGGAGACACAGTAATCTGCTGTCTTGCCCTAAGTCAAGCATTTTCCTTCTCCATGGTCACCAGCTCGTCATGAATCTCGGCCTCGAAAGTCAAAGAATCGCTGTGGTCTCTTAGGCTTTGAACCTCTCGATGCTGCATCTCCTTACGGAGTCCTTTGATCTCGTTTATCAGATGCTGGTTAACCTTCACGTTGTGCGTCCTCATGGCATCGAGCAGGTCATTCTCCAAATGTGCCACTGTCTCGAGGCTGTGCATGTCAGTACGACTTCTCAGAATCCTGCTTATCATGGAATATAATGGAAACTCCCTCGATTGCTCCTCTGATAACACCATGTGGTGCACGCGGTGAATGGTCCAACTTTCCTATTTCACCAGAGGAGCATAAGGCACTCACATCAAACCAAATAGAAAGAACACAGAGGACAAAAACCGGAATGAAGAGAGATGTTTGCATAAATCTATGCAAGAAAAGAAAAATTAGTTCATTACAGCAGAAAGGAAAAAGTTTGAATGGCCTAAAAACTATTACAGAAGGCAGGATTCATACAGCATCACTGCCTAGGAGAGGATCATTGGAAGGATCATTGGAAGAGTCCTTGGAAAGGGTCTGAGAGGCATCCTCAGTGGTTCTCTGAATTCCGGAGTGACCGATATCAGCAACATCCTCCTCGGTTTCCTCATCAGCATCCTCGAGCTCGATGCCCATATACTCGTCAGGAACCTCGGGAATGGGGTCTGTCTCACTCAGACCCTTGGCCAGGACAGCAGGGACGTCGCCTGGAAATGAGGCAATCTCCACAGGGGAACTCATCTTGGGCACGACACCGGTCAAAGCTCCCCACAGAGGGAGCTGCTCAAGGCTCAACCTCGTCAAGACCTTCGCCATGGCCTCGTGCATGGTTTTCTTCGGGTCCTTCATCAAGAGTTGCTTAAACCATTTGGCCTTAATTGGCATATCCTGGTCGAGCCTCCTCAGCCCTGCCACGCCCACTCTGTGCGCACCACACTTGGTGGCAACCAAGTTCACCTGCTTGAGAGCTGCCGCCATTCCGCCTGTGGACATCATTCTATACATAATGGCGGTACACCACTGGTGGAGCTCCTCCTTGGAGATATGCAGGCCGGTAAACGACTTCATCTTCTCGTCGAGCTCGTTGTATTTGGCCTGCACCTCGACAATCTCTGCTTCCTTGGCCTGAACTTGGCGAGCCTTCTCCTCGAGGGCAACCACCTCGAACAATGCCTCGTCCCTTTCTGCCCTTGCTGCTTCTAGGTCCTCTCGAAGTTTCCTCAGCTGCACTAAGTAGGCCATCGAGGCTGCACTCATCTGAGCCAACACAACATATTAGAGACACATGGACATCCGCGGCGCATTTACGACATAATTTGAAAAAAATTGCTTACCAGCCGCAAGCTGTCAGTTTCATTCAATTGGGCAGCAAATTCCTCGAGAGTAGGACACTCGATTGAAGGCGGGTTGCTGAAGGTATGAACTGCCACAGTCGGGCCTCCCTCGAACAGTTGGGGGGGCAAGACTATGGCCTCTCCCTCGAGAGGGCCCTTTCCTTTCCCTACCCCGGGAGGAACTACGCTTGGCCCTGTCTCCGGCACAGTTTTCTGCACAGACTCAGTGGCAACGGGCACCGTCTCGACGCTTGGTTGGGCAGTTTCCTTCGGGGGCACATCCGTCTTGGCCTTTTTGAACTTTGCCCTATCACCCACCTTCACGATCCCTTTCTTCTTCTTCTGAGGGGCGGCAGTAACAGTAACGTCCTCATCTGAATTCACAATGACAAAAGGATCTTCGTCACCAAACAATCGAGACCCAGCATTGCTCAACGACATGACCTAACAACAAAGAAAAAAAAGAAGAAAACGATTAGTACCTTGATCAGAGATTTCGATAGGAATTCTGGTTGCTCCCTCGATGATGACCTTATCACCTTCCTTCACATATGCAGGGGGCACATAGTATTGGACGTCGTTCCACTTAACGACGTTCGAGTACTTCCGAATTTTCCCAACATCTGCCTGGAACTCCTCCACACACTCTTCATCCTCTTGGGTCCATTCATCTTTTATGGCCCCAAGGCCCTGTGTCTCACAGAGATTCCATGGCAGACAATAACTTGCAGGCGCCTTTACAAACACAAAATCCGGTTTCCATTCCGGAGAACCGCCGTACGCCTCGACCATCTTCTTCACGCCGGCTCTAAGGCGTCTTTTAACTATATACCAATCTTGGAAAGAAGTCGAGGCCACAACTACTTGGAAAAAGTACCTCCATAATATCAATCGAGGTACCACCTTTACATATTGGCACACTCTCGCAAACCCCAGTACAAATATAATTAAATTTGGGGTAAAACGAGCGAGAGGAGTCCTATAATGTTGAACAATCTCCTCAAACAGGGGGTAAAGGGGAAATCTAAGCCCTAGATGCATAAATCGATCATACACAGTAATTCTTCCCCTTGGAGGAGAGTTGGCCCTCTCGTTTCCTAACGGAGCTCTCGACTCTAAGGCGGAGGGGAAGTTATACTTGGATCTGAGATTATCTACCTTATCCACCGAGTCTATGGTGGAAACAAAGTCTAGAACAGTTTTTCCTTCGGAATCCCTAACCATAATTCTTCGAAAGATCTACTCTGGTTACAGTCGAAAAGGAAATGGAACGAATCGGAGATTCAGATATGGAAACTTACTGTGTAAGGGGGACGTGACCACTCGCCCTTCGAATTATAACTCCCCAGTGTTGTCTAGAAGCCTCAATTTGTAGCTCCCCTGGAAACAGCGTCGCCGGGGCAGTATATCAGGTAAAATTGCGGAAGTTTCGGCCGGGAAAGGACTTCGGCTGCTCTGGAAAGGAAGAGCGGAATGGGGGCTGGAATGCCCTTTGCAAAGGAGAAGGTTTTTCTGCTTTTTGCAGAGAAAAGAAGTGATTAAGTATCCAGGAATAGTAGAAGTTTTTCTCTTTTAAACGCAAAGTTGGTTCTCCCACGTCTCCTTAATTATGGGCCACGATCTGACAGTTATTGCGGGTTTCAAGGAAGTAATGATGTTGAGGCCGCCGTTTGGGGAATGTACCCGCTAATAACGCACAATTGAAAATTTGAGCGGGATTGGGGAAGCGGGTCGCCTTCCCGGGTCACGGCCTGACCCGCCGGTTCCTCTCGATCCTCCGAGGTCGACGGTGGCGTGTCAGCACCGAGCTTGTTAGGCATATGTCTCGACAATTAGCTGAACGAGGGCGATCTGTCCACCCTCGGGCATGTCTCAGGTAATGCTCATTTTATGCCAAGCGTTGTTTTGTCTTATGTCACTAACACTTGGCAGGGGCACTTGACGAGTCCAGATCCATGACCGAGATTGTACCGGCCCACTCACCGCAAGAAGAGTCCAACTGGGACTCTTAGGACGGTGTGAATCCCTAAAACCTAGTTGGATTCAGAATTGTCTAGGTAATCTCACACCTATAAATAGGGTAGCTCTATAAGCCAAACATACTACCTCCCAAAACTTTCTAGCAATCCCGTTTACTGACTTAAGCATCGGAGTGTCTATCCTCGGGAGACCCCGAGGCTTTGTTTTGCAAGAAACCCTAACCGGAATTCCACCGTTAAACCGGCGGCGCATATCCGTGCATCGTCATATGGGATGTGGTATTGTAGTAATATGAGGTGAGCTTTTTTTTATGTGGAGATGCGTGAATGGAGGGAAGAATGGAGGTGTAGTTGTGATGGTGAAGGGCAGTAAAGTTCCGGCAAGAAAGGAAGAAGAAGAAGATCGGGCAGCGGCAAAAGGCCAAGGATTTTTGTCGGCAGCGGAGAAGAAAGAAAGAAAACTGCCGGAGAAAAGAATATGGGGTTTCTTTTAAATTATTTTTTTAAGACTCAAATGAAGAAGAAGGAGGAGGAGAGGGTGAATGGCCAAGGAAGAAGTATTTTTTTTTTTTTTTTTATACTCTGGCTCGATACCAACTTAGAGAATGGAATGACTTGTATTAAGCAATTGATCTATGACTATTACAAATGTTTATATAGAGAAACCTACCACTAGAATAACATCACATGGGATAATATAAAAAATCTAAGATAAACCTAACTACAATTCTAGATAATTAACTACACAATATCACAACTTTAGATAATTATCACATCGAATAATTATCACATTGACATTCTGGATATTGATCCTTTGAAAATCAAGCTAATCTATGTTTCACTTCCATCTCTAGTTACTTGTATTCAAACCAAGTGACTCAGCAAGGAGACATTGATCTTGTTTTCAAATGGCAATATATAGGACTCAAATAAAGTGAAACATTTTGTTTTTTAGTTCAGTAACATGGACTTTGGAAAGATGACTACTTTTGAAACATTTACAGGATTTCACCTTGGCAGAGTTGACAAACTCCTGACGATTTTGGAAGAAAGCTTCCCTAGGCTTCTACTAAAAGCTCAGAAATGCGTTGAAACACTTGTGAATGAATCGGACCTTTCTTTATCATAATATCCAGGGGAAAACATAATGTAGAAGTTCTTTCTGAAGAACAGATCATTAAGCCTTTTGACAGTTATATCAAGTCTAACTGTCTAAGCCAGATTTGGTTCACCATCCCTCCCCTTATAAAGCTATCAAAGGGATATATTTGTTGGTCTATATGGCTACTATCCATCAGTTTAGATGTTGACTTCTGATTACAACTTCAGCCTTATGGCACAGAGTACTAGATCAGAAATTCCATTCCATTCAGAAAATGGATTTAGTTTGAAATGAAATACTTTTAGTCTCATGGATGAAAGATAAAGATGGCATTTGTTGGAGTTCTTTGAACTCTATACTCCAAGATGTGAACTCTTCATATACAGATCACTACTGATGAAGCAATTTTCTGACAGCAGCCCATTTACATGCCCTATCGGGCCTTTAAGGAAACAAGCCCAACAAGCCCAAATACACATGGGTCTCATATGGGTCTCACATGGGTCCCTCTTTGGACACTTCCTAAATAGTGAACTATATATACCCCAAGACATTTATTTCAGGGATTTAATTTATACTTCTCATTCTCTCTCTAAGTGTGTATTTATTTTATTTCTCTCATTAAGACTGACTTTGGTATCGGAGTGCTAACCTTTGTCTTGCAGGTCCCTGTCCTAGTTGACCGTTGACTCGCCGCCATCGGGATTTACCTTTGTCAAGTGGCGCCGAATGTGGGGAGGCATATACTTGGTCAAGGGCGAGCCCAAGAGCTCTACGAGAGTTATGGTTTCTACTAGGGCGAGGCTTGATGAAGGCACTAGCCGGCGCCCCACTGTTAGGTCTGAAGTGGTGAGAGAGTCGACCCGGCGTTCACCAAGGAAGACCCACGAGGAGGAGGAGCGGGGGAACGATTGTACGTCCTGGACCGGAGACCGGGAAGCCCACTCGCGGAGACGCGGTCACTCTTATTATGACAAGGGAGAGGCCCGCAAGCGTCGACATTCCCGTCAACTGTCCGGGGCCGCTAAGTAGCCTTGACCCTCCGACCATAGTTGCGACCCGGATTTTTAGAAACCCCTGTTCGAAAAATATCCAGAGGTCAGGAGGAAGATTCGTCTGTTCGAGGAGGACTACTACGGGAGGAAGGATCGGGGTTGGAGTGCCAGTCTGCAGTATGTGGGAGAGAAGCGCAGGTCGCACCGGCAGTCCGAAGAAAGAAGGGATGAGCCCGCTACCACATGTGTAACACCTCGGGATTACCTGTCTGTCTTAATTTTTTTTTTCCTTAATTAAACAAGATAACATGACAAACTAGCCAAACCGAGATGTACGCCGGGCTCCGCCCAAGGCACACTACACTACTATCTACTAGCGGAAGTTTAGAAAGTCAAGACAAATTAAAAGAATAAAATCTCTTAAACTTGATTACGTTAAATTTAATGAACTCTCTACATCTCTTAAACCTTCAATCTAGTTTTCTCGCAATTACATCATTTATTTAATTCAATAGTCTACTCCAAAGAAATACAAGCAACCTTGACACTCAAACCAAGCTTCCTCAAGAAACTTCTATAGCTGACAAGCTTTCTGTCATTCTCTGCAATCCTGGGAGAGGATAATTATATATGATAAAAGGGTGAGTGCCGAGCTCAGTGAGGTTCCCACTAATACTATATATATATATACTTTTATAAAATCAAGTAGGATTGGTACCCAAAAATTATTAAAACTTTATCAACTAAAACAGAGCATCATAGAGACAAGTAAACAAGTAGTTTGAGACAATTACGAGCAAACAATATATACATAGAAGATTACCAAACATCGAGGAAAAGATCTAGTCCAAATGCCTATAATGGCAAATATGGCTAGATTCCTAACCCGACTATGTCCGTTAATTTCAGCTCAGCACTAGGCCTTACAATTCAAGTTGTCTAGAGGAGCGATCTCCATAATTGCTTATAAAAAATCCACCAATCAATCCAAGTCGCGATCGGATATCTCATGAGAATTCTGAACAACCACTGTTGGCAATGGACATGACCAAGCCCTATGCCGGCTCATGATACATTTGCTCAACCAGTCGCCTGGGGTCCATAAGTATGCACATAAAAATGCAAAGATGGCTTATAGCCACAAATAGTTCCACGTTTATCAAACAATTAAGACAGACAACAAGTTCACTCAACAAATACATCCTAAGGAGAATAAGACCACCTTTAGGGCTTGATAACAATATTCAGAAATACTTTTAAACAATGTATTGGTGTGTAGTGTCTTTTCAAATATATCTGTTCTTCCAATTTTGATAAAATTTTAGAAAGAGTGAGAATTACTCACAAGTAATGTTACGAACCATTGTCTCATACCGAGCCTGCAATAGATCAAATAGTCACATGCCATTAATCGGGTAATCTTGCTAGTGTACTATTATGTTTCCTACTCAAGACCTTATTGTATAAGAATCAACTCATTCTTGATCTTTATTCATAAGGTCTAATATTTAATAATATACTACTTGTTAGTTGAGGTGTCTCTATATATCATCCTTATTTTTGGTCAATGAGTCTAGATTTAATGATCAAGTTTTAACAACCTTTAAGTTGCACTTAATCACCAATTAATATTAAAATACCTAAGGACTATGTTAGCTATGCCGTCCACTAAAAGATTCAAGGTCAACTTTCAAAATAAAACATAAGTTAAAAACTGGAAAATGAATCACTAACTTTTAAATGATCTTCATCGCTTAAACTGTACTAATATGGGATAAACTAGTTCATGAATCGTATATCATTAGAAAGCCCTCTGAATCTAGTTTACAAGACATCAATTGGTTCTCAAATTGGAATCATCTATTGAAAGTTATGACCAAATTACTAAGTTAGCGTATTGCTATCAACAACGGCAACTACTTACGGGTTTTGAATGTTTTTAAACAATTTGCACATAAACGATCTATATTGAGCTACTTTAACAGTGCAAAAATCCTCCTAGGTACATAAGTTACTTAATCCCATAATATAGAATACAATTTAACTCATAAACTAAAGAAACTAAGTCATAAGAGCTGTTAGCCTAATTACCTTGCTAAAACTGAAATTGCTTCATCCGATACCTCCAGCTCTACGTCCATGGCTTCC